GCTATGAAAATGAATGACCTACAAAAAAATGACCTTGATGTGCCATTAGGGGACAAAAGCAGGTTGCAGGCCAATACAACTCCACTTGTAAAAATCATGTCTGTACAGATGCATGAGCACGGGTGGAATTCAGAAAGGTAGGGCTCAAAGGTTTCCAGTCCAGTTCCCTCTGGAGAGCAGTGCTAGAGAGATGGCTTAAGTTGGGAGCCTCTGGGTCACTTTGACTTTTCGTTTTTCATTTTATACCTTTAGGGTATTGTTGTTGTTGAAGACAGAATCTTGTTCTATATAGTCCTGGCTGTCTTGGACTCTAGCTTCTCCTGAATACAGGCGATCAGAGACATTCGATAACACACCTGGCTTATTCTTCACTATTTTCAATGAAAAGAAAATACCTAAGCAAACTAAAATCCTCCATTTCCCTCACATGCCCTCCCATTACCTAAGGCCAGCAGCCCACCCAGTCCTTGTTACAACCCAGCATTCGTCCCTGCTCTGGAATTACTCTGGGCAGGGCCGCTGGGACAAATCTCCTGGGCACTGTAATTTCCCTGGCTGCAGTGTGTCATTAGACTTGGTGCTGATGCTGTGATGCCTGTGTGAAGCAAAGATTACAGCCCCTGCTGGGACGAGACAGGACAGTCTAGCTGTGGAGCAGCCCTTGCTGCAGAGCTCCTCCCCTCCTGTAGTCACTGCAGTCTCCTGTTGGGGCTCAAGACCCACAACAAGGCTTGGGATGTCACAGATGTCCACTCTCTCCCTGTAGGTCATGAGCCTCCACATCCTCATCTGTAAAATGGGCCAGTGACAGCATTCCCTTCAAGACTACACAACACAACTTGCAGAATTTCTCTCACACACCGTGCTCTCTAAACACAAGCTGGGCTTATTTTTTTATTAGAACTGTATGTGTGCCCATGATGTGGAGGACAGAGGAGGATAGCTTTCTAGAATTGATTCTCTAGTTCTATCCTTGCATGGGTTCTAGGATCAAATTCAAGGCATCAGGTTTGCTTGGTGTCCTAGGTAGAGTTACTATTGCTACAGTGAAACACCATGACCAAACTTGGGGAGTAAAGGACTTATTTGGCTTACACTTCCATATCATGGTTTATCATTGAAGGAAGTCAGGCCAGAACTTAAACATGGCAGAAACCTGGAGACAGGAGCTGATGCAGAGGCCATGGAGGGGTGCTGCTCACTGGCTTGTCCTCATGGCTTCCTCAGCCTGCTTTCTTAGAGAACTCAGGACCACCAGCTCACGGATGGCACCCTCCCCCATCATTCACTGATTAAGAAAATGTCCAATTGGTCTGCCTACAGCTTGATCTTATGGGGGCATTATTTTAATTGAGGTTCCATCCTCTCAAATAACTAAAGCTGATGTCAAGTTAGCATAAAGCTATTCAGCACAATTGATACCCTATCGACCTGAGGCACAAACACGTCAGTGTAAAGCCACAGCCTTTCCTTTCTTGTTCATCCCCCAAGATCACACATTAATGTAAACATCACAGCATAAAACGTTTTGCAGACTTACTGTAAAAGTCGCACGGTCTTACAAATTCAAACACTTCACGCCGCAAGCACTTCAACCGGCTGAGCCATCTTGCCAGCCCCTAGGCTCTTCTTGTGACTGTTTTGGTGTTTGTGGCTGTTATTACCTCCCCAAGAGGGAGAACTTCTCATTTGCTTTTTGGAAAGAAATAACAGGAACAGCCTCTTTGTTTTCATGAGGTATCTGGAAGTAAGTAGATGCACACTGTTCTTGGGAAATTTGGTAGAAATATACATGAACCCACCCCATCCCCTGCCATCAGAAAATCAGTCACGGAGCATAGATTCCTCCAAGCAGTACCTGCAGTGTCTACTATGTTGCTGGGTATCATTCTGGATACCAGGGAGCTAAGCTGTACAGTCATAGAGCTTACACTCTGCCACAGCAGTGCAACAGCGACCAAACCAACAAATAAACAAGAGACAACCGAACACATTTGATGTTGATACTGTGAAGGAAAATCTAGCAGGGTAAGACAGGAGAGAGGCTGGGACACCTGGTGACGAGTTCAATCACTGTGCTCAGCAGGGCCAGTGCTCTGCTCATACTGGAAACCAAAGTGTCCACAGAAGAAGAGAAACTGGCAGGTCTGAGGCCACCATTTACTGTAACTCTCAGAAACAAGGAAGCACCCTCCATGTGTCTGGTATCCCTTCCGCCAAAGCTTCTGTGAAAATGTCAGCCCCAGGCCTATCTTCAGTTTCTGGTGTTCATGGAAGAATGTCGAAGCTGGAGTCTATGCTCAGCTCTCAAATACCCAGAATGGCTGGTGTGGACTCACTGGAAAGAGGCTCCTGGCTGAGTCTTTGTGGGTCTGACAGCCGCTATATAGATCCCAAAGTGGGCCCAGCTTGTCCCTACAGAGGCCGTTTGCATTCCCCTATCCCTCCCCACCCCTCCCCATCACTAAATCATCCCTGAATTAATCAAAGAGCGTGCACTGGTCCGAACTCTCCAGAAGCCTCCTCCAGCGGCCACTTTGTGTTCAGTAGATTAATTGCAGCTGGGGGAGGGGAATGAATCCATTTTTAGAAAATCATTACTTTCAGAAAGAGAGGGGGGCACTTCTGGCTGAGGGAAAAAGTGCTGAGTTGGCAGCTCGGGCCTGCTGCTCCAGCGTCAGGACTGTACTGTGCTGGCTGTTCCCTGAACAGCCTGCGTCCACACTGCCCAAAGGCAGGCCACCCTGGCTTGTGAGCCATGGCTTCTGTTGGCCTTGCCTCCTGCCTGGCCTATGCACATTTCGATAGCATCCTAAACAGAAGAGCTTACCCCAGTGTTGACCATCCCCCCACGATCCACTTATTGTATTCCCAGTCCCCTTGCTGTACATACCACCCCGAGGACACTCTCAGCCCTGTCTAGAGAATGATGAAGGCTGGGGACTCCTAATTTCCACTCCCTCAAACTGATCATTTAATTGATTTTAGTCAATGAAATTGTTACATCTGTAGGTCAAAATTAGCAATCCCACATGGCTCAGCCAGCTCTTTGGGTGTATTTTCTCAATAATCTCTATTCTGGCCTCACAGGGCAGGTAGAATGCCTATTTATGTTTCATAAATGGAGGGCCAAAAGTGTTGGGTGACTCACCCAAGTGAGCCCTCCAACCCAACTATGCCCAATTCCCAAGCCCATAACTGTGAGCAATCTATTGTTTGCCATATCCTAGGCACCCTACTTGCCGTCAACACACCTGGAATGGCAGTGGGCTTGAGGCCACTTTCTTTGAGAAGACACAGACCAACAAAGAGAATCCTGTCATTCTGGGCTGTGTCATTTGGGTGCGCATCAACCTCAGCCACAAGTTGTGTAGGGTAGGGTGTCTGGGGCAAGTCGTTTACCTTCTGAAGAATACTCTTTCAGGAAAGTCCGCCAGCATCCTCTGGAATATAGTATGATCTTGGGAGGAGTCCTTGGTGTAAACAAACATTGTCCATACTGGGAACTGGACCTAGAGGTCAAATGGCTTCTGTCCTCTTAAACCAGAATTTACTTAAAAAACACATGCACTTGCCATGCTCACCTTAACCCTGCCCTACCCAGAAATTAGATAGCTAAGTGATAAAATCAGACCTAAACCTTCCTGTGGAGGAACCTCAAGAAATTGCCTGACCAGTAACGGGAGTGACGGCATGTACCCACGAGGGAGGTCAATCACAGAGACCGTATGGGCAATCCTCAAGAGAAACATCAGGACACTAGGAAGGTCAGAACTCAACCAAGTGTTATTTTCAGGCTACACTGAAGCTAACACAACTCTGTCCTCCCCCCAACTAACCCCCTCCCTCTTCAGAGCCAGACAGTAGCCTCAAGGGAGACTGGACTAGATGTCTACGGTTCAGCCCAGGGCACAGACGGTGGATGGTGTCTTCTGCGGTAAAGTATCAGCCTCCACCTAAAGCCAGACTTCTAAGCATTCTGACAGCCACCCTACCAGAACTCACACTCCATACCCAAATCCAGAGAAAAGAAGTGAGTTATGAGACACTGGCCACCCAGGATTATAGCTCAGCGGTTGTACTTGCCATTTGACTTACTTGGCCTCCTAAAGCCTCCATTTTTGTATAGAGTCCTGAGAAAGATTTCCCTACACAATTAACATCACGTGGGGAACTCAGTGAAGCCTTCAGTATGAAAGGGCTGGAGAGATGGCCCATCATCAGTTTAGAGCATCTGTTGCTCTTACAGAGGTTCTGGGTTGGCTTCTCAGCTCCCACTCACACGGCAGCTCATCTGTAACTCCAGTTCCAGGGGATCTGACATGCTCTTCTGACTTTCTTGGGTACCAGGCACACATGTAGTATATGTAGCATGTATTATGTGTATAATGAACATAAATGTAAAACGTGGATGAAAAGTCTCACTCAGCTTTTGCAGGCAGAGGACTTCACATAGAGCCCCAGGATGAGCTGGACCACAGGACCGGTGAATCTGTCAGTCATGAACATCCCAGCAGACAGAAAGAATGAAGCCTGGACTCGGTCATCACTGGAGGGGTAATGAGGTGGAAGCCTCACCCCTCTGACCACTCTGGGACACTTAACCTCCATTTCCTGGGGCCACGTCCCCCTCTTTTCCCACCTTGACCCCCGCCCCCCGACAATGAATAAGGACTGTGTGGAAGGAGGAAGAGCCAATGCATCCTGGTTCTCGAGGATGTTTCTGCTCTTCCGTCCCTGATCCAATATTCTTCCCAGTCTCCCAGGAACACTGTTGTTCCCAAATCAGACAAAGGGCTGCCTCCAGTCATTTCCCAATATACAATTAGAAAACCTGGGGTCACACCTAACAAGAGGGGATTGGGGAGGGGGGAGCGGCTCGCTCCAGGGTCTAGGAACTAACCCAAAGTCTTTATTTCCTGGCCCACTGACCTTTGTCTCCACTGATAAACCTCCCAGCCTCCCTCCAAGCAAAGAAAAAGCATCTGAACAACGAGGGATGCAGCATACATTTTAAAAATTGTTTAATGAACATAAACTCCTTTAGAAAAACATTCAGCTAGGTGATAACACCCATAGAAAAAAACACCAATCTTGTGTTTATCTTTTTTTTTAATTTGGCATGTTATTTGCATTTATATTAAAGCAAAGTGCATCTTTTCTTTATTCTTCTCGTTTATACACATTGCACAATACATAAATAATGATGCTTATAAAACGTCTTTATATTTACAAGTAATAATATATTTATATATAACATAAAATACATTTTTCTTTAATAAATCTCAGCTTTTTTTTAAGGAGTCCTTTCCTCTCTCAAAGCACTACAATGCTAAATTTCCAATGAGAATGCTTCTCTTGTTCATTTAAACCTTTGTAGTTAGAAAAATAGCTTATGTGAAAGTCTAAACATGCTCATTGAGCTAAGAACAGTGTCAAAGTATCATACTAGTGTATGAGCTGAGAGAAGGACTGGCAGCCAGCCTAGGATGTACCTTTGTTATCACAGGGCTATACCCTTCTCAGCAGGAAGGGGGGGCCACCGAGCAGGTCCCTCCCTGATGCCCCTCGCTGGTCTACAGAGCTCAGCACACAGGCTGGGGGGGTGGGGTACTGAGCTGACTTTCCACATCTGGGAGAAACCTGATGAAAAACCACGGCTGGGACCGGTGGAAGGGCCTGAGAGGGTACTGGGGTAGCAATACTGTGACTGGGGCTGTCCCGGCAGCCCTTGGGAAGCCCATCTCAAGAGAGAGATCCAGGAGCAGATGGCCAAAAAAGACAGACTCGACAATGGCAGCGGGTGACAGGAGGCAGTAAGACAGGGATGAAAACAATTGGTTCTGGTTCAGCCTTCTAGCAGGCTGGCTTCTCAGAAGCCTGTGGATAGGCCCGTGTCCTGTGGGGAAGGGGGTGGGGGCGAGGCAGCTTCGGCAGGCTGGAGCAGAGTTTGGCAGCTGCTAGGACACCTGCTGCCAGTCTGCCCAGGTACTGCCCCTGCCCCACCGAGCATGTCCAAAAGGCTCGAGAGACACACAGCTTGGAACTGCAAGCCTCTCAGCTGGGGACATCCATAAAGAACACAAAAAGCACGTCATTCCCCCATCTGTCGTTCATGTACACCCCTACACACTGACAACTGAAATGCTGATCCAAGGCAGTGCTGACTCTTGTTTCCCATTTTCGCATTATCGGGGTGTCCTGCCAACCACACCCACCACCTCAAAACAAAACAAAACAAAAAACAAAACAAAAAACAAAACAAAAATCCGCATCATAAGCTAATTTCTCAAAGAACAAGACAAACCAGACACAAGTTAAGAGTGACAAGAAAGGAAAAAACAGAACAGAACAAAACCAACAATGAATGGCAACAACAAAACCGACCAAAGAGTTTGCATGAAAAGCAATCACTCGGGAAAGGTTAGCAGCAAGTAGTTTGAACGGTGGCCTGCTCGGCTCACCCTCCATCCTGTCCTCCCCACACGACTACCGGCTGTTGAAGATGACCTCCAGCCAGCACGGGCAGCTGCTGATGAACTGGCGGGTGTAGCACTGGCCCCAGCCCTTCACAAAGCTAATCTGCACGGTGAAGCCCGTCCACGGCTGCTGCATGAACTCGTGGTCATTGGGCCGCTGCAGGCTGTAGGCCTTCTCATAGTCAAAAGCCTTGATGGAGAAACCAGGGAACACCTTGTGCACCAACAGCGTCCTGGAGTCCGGGTTGTCCAGTGTGGCGGACTTGATGAAGATGGGATAACTGCTGCGGTTGTAAACCCACACGCCATCCACTTCCCTCGTCAGCTGGATGCCACAGCCAATCTTGCTCCGCACCTTCTGTACCAGCTGACTCTTGTTGTCCGAATTGAGCTGTCCGAGGCAAAAGCCATTCCCCTGAGGTAGATCATAGAAGATATCCAGGGAGGGCTCTTGGACACAGTAGAGCCTCCCCACACGCGTCTTCTCCTCCCAGTATGCCACCACGCACCAGTGTGACCGATCCCCAGGCTCCAGAAGAAGTTGGGAATCTACAAGACAAAATGGCGGACACTGTTGGTGGTGACAGAGACCAGGTTCTTTTTTCCTTCTAGAATCAAAAGGCATACATACGTAGACACATTTGGACGCATGCTCATGAGTCCCTATAAGCAGCATAAAAGCAAAAGAGGGAGAGAGAGTAAACCTGGGCTAGCTGTAGGGTCTACAGTGCTAATGGAGGGAAGACATCTTAATCCACCTTTAAATACAGGGCTTTCTGCTGTCATCCTCCCTCTCCTCTCATCTGAGTCCACAGCATCAGCATCAGCATCAGCACCTGCACCTACTTGTCCCCAAGAAGCACAGACTTTGGGACCATTGATAACCCGCTCTTGCTGTTTTGAGCTGGAAAAGGCCTTAGAAATGCCCTAGAATTAGAGTTGCTTCCCATGGATGGAACCTAGAGGGACAGCTTCTCTACTGGTGACCCAGTCAGACTGAGAAGCCAGGTGGCCTACACCCTCTACAGCCTCTGTACTAGCTTGTCACCGATGCTCACATCCGTGCCTTGCTGCTCATAAGGGAATGTCAGCCGGCAAAAATAAAGATGAGGGTGACTCTGAGGGTGTTTTTTTTTAAAAGCTATCTTCCTGACAGAAACCAACTCTCTCTCTCTCTGTATGACAGCAGCAGCCTGTACCAAAAAGGTTATGAGTTCAAGGCCAACTGCCAAATTATAATATGCAAGTGGACATCCACCTAGACCATGGCCAGCCCAGACAGAATATGCCATGCTAAAATAAACATGACCATCCTTGATGTACCCTGTCTGCCAGTCTATCTCCCTGATGTGCCCCCTTCTCTGGTTTGAACCTGCACAGCCCAAACAGTCCTTTGTGGCATTTTACTGACCTGTCTGAGCCCCTCCTCAAGACCTCCCCCACCCCATCCCCAAACCCATAACAGCCTAAAAGCCTGGAGTGACAATGGTAAGTTGTCACCTAAACAAGAGTTCTATGAACTTTTAAAGGGAGGGAGGGGTCTATATGGAAGAAAGTCCCTCCCCCTGCATGGGCAGCCTACTACCTCCCTTAACTCTAGCCAAGAGAGAACAGGGCTCACACTGAGGGCTATAAATCTCCCAGCCCCGCCGGGCTGCTGGAACGCTGTGGTTTGTGGCGGCAGGGTGGAGAGCGGAAGTCTTGTATTTGCTAACAAAAATGGGGGAAGGCGAGAAGGGAAGGAGTGAGGCAGGGCGGGGGTGTGTCTGTGGAGCACCGAGGCAGAGAAGCCTCTCTCCCACTCCAGTAAGTTTGGTGGGCCCTGAAGATGGGGCAGTATGGCGGATGTGTGTTCTCGAGGCCTTTGTTGTTGCTAGGCTCAGAGCATGAGGAGGGCTGTCCCCATGCAGGCCCAGGACCAAGAAAACTCAGCCTTGTTGGTAACCCAGGGCAGCCTGGTACATCAATCCAGTCCAACTTTTATAGGCATGTTAGGACCTGGGAACCAGTCAGCTCATTGCTCACTCGCTTGCTTGCTTTTTTTTTTTCCAAAGCAGCAGTCAGTGTGAGCCCCACGTGTGAGTCTGTACATTTGTACAACCCACAGAGGTAGTCGTCGCACACACCCAAATCCTGAGTGGCTGTCCCCTACTACAGACACCCCTTCTAAGTGGCCTCCCCAATCTGTGCCCAGTTAAACACAAAGAGGATGGCAGGACAGGGTGGTGGATTCCTCTCCTGAATCCCCACTCCACTGAAAACCAACACTGCAAACCTGCACTGTCCCCTGCCCCCACTGCCATGCACCTATATCCCAAGTATACAAGACTGCTTGTGTGTCTGAGTGTGTTTATGATGGAGTGTTTGTGCTCGCACACACCAGAAAGGATGGAAAACAAGAGAGGGACGAGGGCTACGAGCAGAAGGTGACTCATCAGGCATTAACTTGTTTCTGCAAAGAATCCATCAACTGCTAATAAACTCGTGAGCACGGGCAATCTCTGAACTTTTTCTTGCAGAGGGAGCTTAGCTCTGAAGGCTGCACCAAGGACCCCTAACGTTAGTCCAATGAAGTAAGACACTTCTGGACGCGAGAGTGCTCCCCAAAGGATCCCAAACTTGGGTCAAGAAACCTGGCCAGGGAAAGGAAGACTCGGGGAGCGGCTGAAGGGAGAGAAAGAGGCTGGGGAGACTCTCAAGAGGGGCCTCACAAGGCTTGTTTCATGTAATCCAGCCCCACTGAAATCTGGCAAGGGAAGGGGAAGGAAAGAATGAAGGAAGGAAGGAGGTGGGAGAAGGAGGAGCCTGGGATCAAGTTGCTCCCCATGCCAGGCTTGTTGGCCTCCTTAGCAAGTGGTGGGGGTCCTGTCTACCAGGCAAGCCTCTGGGGCAGAGCAAAGTGGGCAAGGCTGGAGCTTGAGGCCTGCGGGGAGAGAGGGAGTAAGGAAGGGAAACGAGCCGGGGTTTCTCTTTCATCTACACAGCCGGTCTACCCAGCAATTTGCTGCCAGACATCCCCAGGAAAAACTCCTTTTCTGTTGAGGTTAATGGCCCAGCCCAGATAAATGGTAGTGTGTGGGTGTCCCCTCAACGCACTACAGGGAGACCCCTGCTTGCTCCTCCCTGTCTCCAGCCCCACTCAGGGTAGCTCTACACCTCCCCCTGCTCTTGCCCAGACTATCTCTGAGCACAAAAACCAGAAATCTCTCCAGCAAACGCCTCGGTACGCTTCCCAATGGAGAAGTCACGCACCTTCTGAGAACCCAGGGCAGCACTAGGAAATGGCAGCACCCACATGTCCACCTTGGCCTGAATAACGGCTGGTTGGGCCCACTTATGGGAAATGCCCAACATCGTTTTCTGTGGAACAGATACCTAAACTGCGCCCACATCCCCCAGTCTTCCAACCAAGGTTAGGGTAGGTATTTCTCTCCTAGAATTTCCCAGGACACATGGACAGAGCCAGCACAAGTCTTGGCCACTACCAAGGGAGGGGGGAGAACAGGAAGTCCAGCTCTGGCTTCGCTGTCCATATTCCCAGTGCAAACCCACTCACGCTCAACTTCTCCCAGCTTTATAACCTTTCCGGTGTTTTTCAACATTTCCTCCCCAGAAATTGTACAGGGCCTTGTGTTTAAACGGCATGTATTCATTTGAGAGCATCCAAAGAAAAACTACGTTGTAAAAAGCTCTGTAATCAGATGCCTGCTCACAATTTTTTTTATTACAGCTGAGGGGATTTTTCAAAGCAATACCAGAAAAGTGCTGAATAGATCCAAAATTCCATTAAGGTGTTTGCCCCTCCCCCTCCACATTTTCCTAATGCATAAAATCTTCCTTTTAAGGGGAAGGGCGCAGTAGAGACCAGAGAGGGAGAATTTCACAGTGTCTGCATAGGGAAGACCACTGACCAAGAAGAGCTAGGACCCTGGTCACCAAGGAACAGACACCTGTAGACCAGACTCACGAATGCCTCTTATACTTTGGACTTCAATGGCACAGGGTGATTAGCACTCAAGAGCACAGTTAGGTACAGAAGAAATCCCACCATTTAAAGGTAACTAGGGCTATTGAGATGGCCCAGTAGGTCAAGGTGCTGACAACCAAGCCTGACACCCTGACTTTGATCCCCGGAAGCCCAGATGGTGGAAGACAACCAGTTGACCCCTGACCTCCACAAATACAACATAGCACCCTTGTGCATTCTCACATAATAATAATAATAATAATAATTTAAAAATCATATTATAAGCCGGGCGGTGGTGGCGCACGCCTTTAATCACAGCACTTGGGAGGTAGAGGCAGGCAGATTTCTGAGTTCGAGGCCAGCCTGGTCTACAGAGTGAGTTCCAGGACAGCCAGGACTACACAGAGAAACCCTGTCTCGGGAAAAAAAAAATCATATTATAAGTAAATAACTAAAACTTACAGGTGTGAAGAGAAATGAGGGGGACAATTAACGAACTGGCTGGTGTGGGAGATGGCAAAGGAGGGGGTCTCACTCACTCTCATCTCTGTGAGAGTAAGATGGCCTGTGAGCTTCCCCTGAACAGTCAATCCAAACAGGAAGGGTACCTAAGGAACAACGATGCTCCCAACGGCCTTTTCACCAAGGTCAGGGGCAAACAAAGGGCAGACAAGTAGACACAAAGGCTGGGCCAGCAACCTGGAACACAAACATTGACTACCACACCTCCCACCACAGGTCAAGGGTCCTCCCTCCTCCTCAGCACTTGATGGCCGTTGCCCAGTCTACATCAGACATCTCAAAGGTTAACAGCACCACTGCCCGGCTCCTCCCCATTAAGAAACCGAGTGTACTCAAACCATCCAGGACAAAGGATAAGAAGAGTGCCCAACACCCAATCTAGGATCTCCCTACATCATTACAAGGACACTCAGCCTCCTCCTCCTGAGGCAAATGATCAAAACCCAAGGCCAACAGGGAAAGCTACCTGGTTTACTGACTCAAACCTGCCATGTGTACAAATAATGGAAGACCCGAGGAGAAACACAATCTCCAGAAGTTCCCAAGGCAGCTCGGATAACTCTGGACTTGGGAGCAACTTACTCACGAAAGCTGAAATGCTTCAGGTTAACTCTCTATCGAGGGTCAGAGACTCAGCCTTCCCTTCCCAAGCCGATCAGAGTTTAGTCTGAGGGCCACAGACTACACTGAGAAAGATCACGCACGCATGCACGCATGCACACCATGCTCTGCACTATCTCACTGATGGTGGCTGGACTGGGAGGAACGGTCAGGGGATGTTGGAATCTCCTCCAAGGTCAGGGTGCTCAGTCAGATCCCTGGGTCCGATCAAGTTGGATCCCTTCCTTACGTCCCTGCCCCCAATCATGGCACATTCCAACTCTAGTGGGATACTTAAATTCATCCCAAACAAGAGTCTTCCTGGGCCAGCCTCGGAGTTACTATGACAACCTAATACAAACGTGACCGTGGGTAGCCCATCCCGTGGTATGCTACACACACCTAGAAGTCTCAACTGCAATCTAACTTCTCAACTACTGAGGAGATGTTAACCCTCACC